TCTAGACCATGGGATGAGATGGGTGAAGGATTGGTGAAGATAAGAGAGAGATGTGTTCTTACCTTGACTCAAGAAAGCACATTTTCTTCCTATTCTCCCTTTTTCTTTTTTTCTTTTGTTCTCTTCCTTCTTCTTCTCTATTTTCCCCTACTCACACTCTCCTTCTCTCACCCTCTCTTTGGCTGCTGAAATATGGGTGTGGAATTGAGGCAAGACTCTCAATTTATAGGCCATGAATTTGGGTTAAAAAGACCATTCTACCCTCTTGCTTAAAGACTAAGAAAAATCATAAATATCTAGATATTTTGTGTTCCACTAATTTGCTCAAATAAAGAATAAAATAAATAATAAAGATTCAAATAACTAATATTCAAATAGGCTAAAAAAAAATTAAATGTATGAATTAATTTCGAAACTAGGAGGTAAATAAATAAAAACCAAGTGATTAAGGCCGAAATGTACATCATTGAGGCCGTTAATTAGAATCTCTTAACTTCACTTGCTGGTCAAATCGTATATTTTATGTGTGTTGAGTGTCAATCAGGTTATACATCGTCGGAGCATAAAATGAGCAAAAAGACAGAATTTGGGCAGAGTTGACTTTCCCGCACGTGCGTTGACTTTTTCTGGGAAAGTCAAACCGACGTTTTAAACTTGTTTGGACGAGATTGGAAGTATAAGGAGGCAAGAAAAAGGCTGGATTAGGGTTCTGAAATTGTTTTAACCTAAAGGGAGAGGCTAGGGTTTGAAAAGGAAGAGAAACAAAAGCTCCAAGATGTCTCCCATGGTGGTTCCTTCTCCTTCTACCTCCTCCCACTCCCCCATGAGTGGCTAGTCTTCTTTTCTAGGGTTTTGATGAAACCCTAGCCATGTAATTATGTAGTTTTCTTTTTGATTTTATATTATGTAAAGGTTTGAACCATTGTATGGTGTTTTAGAAATTCTTTATATATAATTTTCATTATCTTTTCAAATATTTGACTTTCTGTGATTGTTGAATATTATCCATACATGAGTTTTCTATTCCTTCACATTCAATGTACAAGCACGAACCATCTCAAGTTTTAGGGTATTTTCAATTATAAAGTGGTGTTCTAGGATTCAATTATAATACAAAATAAAATACAAAAAAATTATTCTTTATTGGACCATTTTGTAAAATTTTATGAAATTTGGGACTAAAATGCAATTAAACTAAGGCTTAGGGTTTCAAGTGTAATTACCAAAAATTAGGGTCTCTACAATTTTAGATATTTATGTACACCTATATTGAGTATAGTGATTAAAATATTATTTTTCTACCAATTTTACTTAACAAGTAAATGATTTAGATTTTACCCAAAAAAACTGATTTAGATTGAAAATAAATTCAAGATTTAATATTTACATTGACAAAATTAAAAACTCATGATTTATTCATTGAATTTTTTATTTTTGTAATTTTTCAAAAAAAAAATAAATAAATAAATTACTCCTCACTATCTCTTAAAGCATCTCCAATTTTTAATCCTTTTTTTTTTATCAAATAAAAGTGTTCAAAATCATCTTCAATTCATTCATTAAAAATGTCTATCAAATTAAAAATTTATCAAATCCTTCATCAAAATGAAAATTTAAAAAGTTGAAAAAAAAAAAAAACTATTATTCATTAATGGCTTTGAAACTCAAAATAGTTTTGAATTTTTACTTTTAGTCCTTGTGGGTTAAGCTCTTAGTGAGCAGAAATGCACCATTGGACAATATATTTTCATTTCATTATTAAGTTCATATCAACTCGTTATATTGTTTCCACAGTTGTAAACTACAAAACATATTTAACATTTGATAACCATGAACAAAGATATGATATGTATATATCGCTGCGGATAATGTTTACAATGATAAATTTGTTGAAGTTTGTGTATTTTAATATTAAAATAACTTTATATAAATGGTTGTCTCAGTAATAAATCCAAAACAAATACTGAAATACATGGGTACAATAATGCATTAAAATATGCAACCAACTAGGCCTAGCCTAGTTGGCCACCATGCCTTCCTTAGGGCTTAGTCCCAAGGAAGTCATGAGTTTAATTCCCTTTATGCTGTGTTTGGTTGAGAGATTTGGGGAGGAATTTGGAAAGGGAAATGGAAAAGGTATGTGAAATGTGAATAAATCATGCCTATATTTCACATAGTTTCACACACCTTTTCCCTTTCCCTTTCCAAATCCCTCCTCAAATCCTCCAACCAAACACAGCATTAAGGGGGTTGAATTAAGAGAGTGCAAGTATCTGGGTGCTTTGCCAAGGATGGGGAGATATTCTCCCACAGATACTAATTTAACAACTAACAACTAATATTTGCCGATCAAAAAAAAAACATTAAAATATGCTAGTACTCAACTCGAATACATTAAAATATTGTACTAGAAACTATATGAATCAACTTATTGATGATGTATGCAAATATGATGCCAGGGATTAGAAGTTGCAGTGGAGCCATTTGTAAAAGAAGCCAAAGATGAAGAACTAGTCATCGAAGGAGCAAAGTATGTTGGCACAGGCATTTTGGTAGGGAGAATGGGCAATGGAGCTTCAAAATTAAGCACATGAATTGCTTGCCTAATTGAAGGTCGGAGATTGTGATCTGGGTGAGCACACCAAAGCCCAACAATCATCAAGCATTCCACTTCTTCTTGAACGAAATCAGCACATATCTTCAAATCCAACGCCTTAAGAAGCCTACCAATACCATAGAGATCCCAAACCCAGTCTACCATTCTCATCTGACTTTCTGGGACCTTCAAGGTAATGGGTTTTCTTCCACATGCTATTTCTAGTGCCACAACTCCAAAACTAAAGACGTCTGATTCCTTATTGGCTTTGCCTGTAACTAGGCATTCTGGTGCCATGTAACCTATTGTTCATGTCAAAATTGTTGTTTGTGACCCCTTATCGTGGTCGACAAACCTCGCTAATCCAAAATCCCCAAGTTTAGGATTGAAATTTGAATCCAACATGACATTGCTTGTTTTTACATCTCTGTGCACTATACATTGTTCACATTCTTCGTGTAGATAGAACAATGCTGAGGCCAAGCCTTTAGCAATTTTGTACCTTATTGCCCATGTCAATAAACTTTTTTCTTTGAAGAGATGATAATCTAAGCTTCCATTTTCCATGACCTCATAAACAAGTAAGAATTCTCTTTTTTCATGACACCAACCAAGTAGTTGGACCAAATTTCTATGCCTCAACCGACTAATGATCTTCACTTCTGATATGTACTCCTTTATTCCTTGTTTGATTCCTTAGATATTCTCTTCACAGCGACGTGGAGGTTGGATTCCCTCAAGAAACCTCTATAAACCCCACCAAACCCTCCCTCTCCAAGCTTCTGTTCCTTCGCAAAGTAGTTTGTTGCACGAATTAATTCACCATATGAAAACTTCTTTGGTCCGGTACCTACCTCGAATTCATTGTCCACGGATAATTCAATAGCAAGCTCATCTTCTTTTTTTGCTGCTTTATTACTACTTTTGTTCCACAACACAAATCCAAGCAAAGCTAACACACTAATAACCAAAATAAATGAGCCGACAGCTGAGCCATAGAGAAGGCCGAACTATCCTTAGCTCGGTCTTCTCCTTTAACTCATTACTTCGGCTGCCCCTGTTCAACCTTGGTGTGCTCAAACTTCCAAGTAGCAAGGTCTGACCGACCTAACCATAGTACGTCACGACCGGACTAATTCCAAAACCGGCCTTCCCAGAACATACTGCGGCCGGACTAACTCTGAGACCGGCCTAATTCCGAGTTGCCTACGGACCAGAGTAGCTTTACTTCTCCTTGGACCAAAGCATCTATCTCTTCATGAGCCGGAGTAACCTCACCTCCTTGGGCCGAAGTAACTTTGTCTCCCTTAAGGCCGGAGTAACCTTGCCCCTAGGCCGAAGTAGCCATTACGGCCTTTTTACTTAGTCCTTCGCGTTTTGGGCCTCGAAGCCAAACTCGGAGCTCGGCCCAATTTTTCCCAAAAATTACCCTCTCAATTGCCCCTTAATTCCATCTGTGCAACAAGATTGGGATTACCAGTCTACTGGCCGAGCTAGAGTTTCATTAGGCTTTTTCAGCCGATCTAAGAACCCTTTAGCCTCTCTAGCCGATCTAACTTTACCTCGGATATCACTATGTCCGGTCAAAAACGTCTCTTCAATCACAGCGACTGTAACACTTCTCATTCCAATGACACGTGGCAGGCTCTGATTGGTTAAGGACGGCTGTCACGCCGTCTTCGTGCTTTGTGATCTTGAAACGGTTCCCGCCCAAATTTTTGGCTTTCTAACAAAAGTAATTCCTGAGGCTAGGGTCTCTACACTTTTGCTATTCCTTCGTCTTCTCTCTCTGTCCTCTTGCTGCTCGAGTTCTGAGCTTACTGTGTTCGTGCTTCTGTTGCTGCTACTGCTCCATCTTCAGCTTCTTCTTCTTCAATCTGGTAAGCAGGTCTACCCTTCTCGCTTTTGTTACTTGTTTTTCCATCTGTTTTTGCTTTGTATGCTTTTTGCAAACATTTTTCTTCATTTGTCTGCTTTGCTCTTCGTACTTTGATGAAGAAACCATAGAACCCAAGAGTATATGTCATATACCCTAGAGAAAACTCGATTTCGATCCAGAATCACATCCCAACCGAACCAGGATACTGTTTGTGTTGTGTATGTAGATAGATTTCAGAGAACAACCGAACTAGGACTCAAAGGAATAGCAGTAGTTTCTTCTCAACCACTCTAGCCAAGATAAACTCACCGGAAAAACGTGCACGTACCACTGCGGCCGGACTAACTCTGAGACCGGCCTAATTCCGAGTTGCCTACGGACCGGAGGAGCTTTACTCTTCCTTGGACCAAAGCATCTATCTCTTCATGAGCCGGAGTAACCTCACCTCCTTGGGCCGAAGTAACTTTGTCTCCTCAAGACCGGAGTAACCTTGCCCCCTAGGCCGAAGTATCCATTACGGCCTTTTTACTTAGTCCTTCGCGTTTTGGGCCTCGAAGCCAAACTCGGAGCTCGGCCCAATTTTTCCCAAAAATTACTAGTAATGGGTTTTCTTCCACATGCTATTTCTAGTGCCACAACTCCAAAACTAAAGACGTCTGATTCCTTATTGGCTTTGCCTGTAACTAGGCATTCTGGTGCCATGTAACCTATTGTTCCTGCCAAAATTGTTGTTTGTGACCCTTTATCGTGGTCAACAAGCCTGGCTAATCCAAAATCCCCAAGTTTAGGATTGGAATTTGAATCCAACATGACATTACTTGATTTTACATCTCTGTGCACTATACATTGTTCACATTCTTCGTGTAGATAGAGCAATGCTGAGGCCAAGCCTTTAGCAATTTTGTACCTTATTGCCCATGTCAATAAACTTTTTTCTTTGAAGAGATGATAATCTAAGCTTCCATTTTCCATGACCTCATAAACAAGTAAGAATTCTCTTTTTTCATGACACCAGCCAAGTAGTTGGACCAAATTTCTATGCCTCAACCGACTAATGATCTTCACTTTTGATATGTACTCCTTTATTCCTTGTTTTGATCCCTTAGATATTCTCTTCACAGCGACGTGGAGGTTGTATTCCCTCAAGAAACCTTTATAAACCCCACCAAATCCTCCCTCTCCAAGCTTCTGTTCCTTCGCAAAGTAGTTTGTTGCACGATTTAATTCACCATATGAAAACTTCTTTGGTCCGGTACCTACCTCGAATTCATTGTCCACGGATAATTCAATAGCAAGCTCATCTTCTTTTTTTGTTGCTTTATCACTACTTTTGTTCCACAAGACAAATCCAAGCAAAGCTAACACACTAATAACCAAAATAAATGAACCGACAACCACCCCCAGTGCCTTTTTGTTGTTTTCACCCATCCTCTTCTTATCGATTTGCAAAGTCGAATTGAATTGCCCAGTTCTCACATTATTTTTCACAAGAGGATCTTTATGCATGGCTGGACCGGCTTTTTGCAATCGATTCAAGCCCCAGTCATTTGGGGTGACTTGGAAGCCATCTTCATTGATATAAGCAAGTGGATCAGCTATTATGTCGATATTTTCACGCTTTTGATCAATCTTCGTGAAGTTGAAGCTTAGCGAATTTGCTTGAAGAGGGAAATAGTAAAGGGTGAAGAAGAACAGAGAACAAAGAAGAATAGTACTTGACGGGACTAATGGGTTCCAAGAGTTGCACACAGTCATAGCCATGGTTGGTTTTGTTGTGAGGAGAAAAATTAGTTCTTAATTCTTGATGAGTATAAATTAAATAATCATAGAAGTGTGAACAAATGTATTTTCACCAACTCATTGCTCCCAAGTCTTCTTGTACATATGCTGGGGTCATCTTTAGAAAGCAAACACAAGACACTCACGCTTCTTTTGATTAGGCGGACGTTGAAATTCTTAATTTATAAGATTTGTGTTTGGGTATTAGCACTATAAAAAATTAAAATTTTAAAGATCAAAATTTAGAAACAAAATTATTTTTTAGGAATTAAATATTTTTGTTACAAAAAATGTCATTATTATATTTTTAGCAATAGAAATTGGATATTAGTGATAAATTATTATATTTTTAGAACCAAATTTTTTGTCTCAAAAAATAAACCATTTTGAGACCAAATTATTTTGTTCCTAAAATTCTCTTTATTAGTGATATTTTCAAAATTCTGTCGCTAAAAGCCTTGCTTTTGACTTTTCGGGACGACATTTTAGCAATTATTACTCATAATGATAAAAATTAGTTCCTAAATGCCTTTTGCAACAAAATTTTTACTTTTAGAGTCCAAAAAATTTGGTCTCTAAAACTTTTGTATATGATAGTGTAAGTTCTGATAGGCATTCTATCTACCAAAATTGGTGAATTTTTTAATCCTACAACTAATAATATTTTTTTTTTAATTAGTGAAAGTTAGTGATTAGTTATTAAATTAACATCTCCAAAGGTTCTTCCTCGTAGAATCCTTGGACTTAAATTGGGTTTTATTGAATCATCGTGCTTCTAGTATGAATATGAGGTTTTAATTGATTCATAGGATTTTAACAAGAGAATTCCCATCTATAATAATAGTAAAGTCACATTAGGCATAAACACCAAGCAAAAAAAAGAAATAGGAAAAAAGAGGATTCAAGAGGCCTGTAAGGATCAAGATAAAGATAAAAAGAGGCCCATATTTTAGATAAAGAGGCTTTAAAAAAAAAAAAAAAAAGCCCCTATAAGGATCAAGATAAAGACAACTGAGAGAGCTTTACATTTTAGCATTATCGCCACAAAGGAAGATCTTTTGGTTTTTTCTTTCCACTGGCCAAAGGACTAGCCAGGCCACAACCACTTGGTTCCTACAAATAATAATGTCAATCAAAAAATCTAATGGGAATTATATATTTCTATTGTATATTCCACTAATTCAACTATATAATCAATTCTACACAAATTTTATAAATTGCTAATTCCCTCATTATTAATCTTTCTAATCAAACAAGGTCTTAAAATAGGTTGAGACTACTGTGTGACACTATTATGTGGTGTTTCTGATAAATGAAAAATTGTAAAACACATTAAGTAAGTCATTATTGTCTCTCAACTACCTAACACAGATGGGTCAATATAATTCTACCTATAAAATTTTTATGACACCCTTGGTGACAATAATATTAAATATTTTAATTTTTTAATAACCAGGCTATCTGTTAGATTTTATTCTTGGCAACCCCGTTTGACAAAACTCCTTTCAGTTATATTTATATTCGCATTTTTATTTCAGTAAGGTTATGAGTTGTTAGATACGAATCCAACCCGAATCAAGCCTTTCAGAGAAGTTTGTGATGCTAATGCTTTCAAGATTGCCACTTCGCTGATTATGACGGGGATCGAGCTGCCCGATCAGCTCGTAGGGGTCCAGGGGGCAGCGCCCCTTGGTGGGTCCGGGGCAGTGCCCCCGAAGCAAAATGCAAAAATGCATTCCAAGTTGCCTGTCCGCTCGAGCGGACATTACCCCGCTCGAGCGGAGAATCCCTGATTCCAGTAGTTTTGGTCGCCTGCAAAAGTACTAAGATGTGTGATTTCGTGCTCGAGCGGGTTCTATAGCGCTCGAGCGGACCTCTGTTATATCACGCGCAGATTTTACTGAAGACGCTCGATAAATGAAAAATTGTAAAACACATTAAGTAAGTCATTATTGTCTCTCAACTACCTAACACAGATGGGTCAATATAGTTCTACCTATAAAATTTTTATGACACCCTTGGTGACAATAATATTAAATATTTTAATTTTTCAATAACCAGGCTATCCATGTCACCTTTATGTTATGTAGGTTGAACACTAATTTGACATGTTCAATATTCATATTATCAAGTCGTATCATACATATATTCGTGTCAAAAAATAGTCAATCTTAAACTGTTAACTTCGTATGCTAACTTCGTGTACGATTCAAATCATGTTATTATGTCGTGTCAAAAATTCCAGCTTTTACCTAGTTGTGTTATGTGGAACACATTTTGGGGAAGAGATATACGGCTGTGCCTGCAAAGGCTTCATTATTGTGATTTGTTATTCACATTTAAGGTATCATCAATTAATGAGAATGCAAACATTGCAATAATTTAATTACATAGTTAATTTGTTGGGATTTATTCCACATTTCACCAATGTAAATAGAAACACATTCACTTAGCAACAAAGAAAAAAGTACGATCACACTATGAGATTTACGTAGTTCAACTCAAATTGTCTACATCTCCAAGTGAGAGAGATGATCCATTATAAATTGTAAAGAGTACAATCATGAGACCAAAAACTCAACACTAATATCCGAGTCCTAAACAATATTCGTTCCCCGATCAAGAGCAACAAAGCCCCAAAGCCACACCTACTCTCACGTAGTGTCTCAAGTGATTCTCATAAGTTCCTTATTTATAGGCAAATCCAAGATATTATAATCTCATACGATTAATAGAACCTACACATAATGGGCTCATAATAGATTTCAAACTCTACACTAATCCAAATATTTTTTTTTTGAGAGAATAACTCTAATCCAAATATATGTTAACACCAATAATTATATGGGTCCTGCAAAAAATAAAACACACCCAACATAATTTAATGTGCATCAAAAGTAACAAAACCCCGAAGTCACACATGCTCACACGTGGTGTCTTAAAACACACTTGCTCACACCCATCAAAGCCTCAAAGTTACACCTGCTCACACCTGGTGTCTCCGGCTCATAAGTTCCTTATTTATAGACAAATCCAAAATATCATAATCTCATACAATTAATAGAACCTACACATAATGAACTCATAATAGATTTCAAACTCTACACTCTAATCCAAATAATTTTTTTTTTTTTGTTTTTGAATGAATAACTCTAATCCAAATACAGAACATTTGGTGAGAAATATAGTTTCGCCACTAATAATTTTAAATATTTTTAAGCCTTTTAGTGAGAATTATTTTGCCACCAATTTTTTTGAAAGAAGAATTTTGACATATTAAGCGGTAATATTTTGTAATTTGTTTATTGGGATGGCATTGCGGAAAATGGTGGTGCGACAGTTGAATTAAATGGGCTTTTGGGGCTGATCTTTTGATGGCTTTTTTGTGGTTTTTTTCCGTAAAAGTTAAATAAAAATAAAAATAAAATTTAGAAAGTACAAAAAAAATATAAAATAATTGACTTTTTTTTGTTTTTAAATAATTTTTTTTTGCTATTTAAATTTGTCTACACAAAACCGATTCAACTTGAAAAATAAAAAACTTCAAATAATTTTGAAAAAAAAAACACTAAAAAAAAAACAGATATATATATATACATATATAAGACTTTTTCATTGAATACCAAAATCACCCTAAATATTTGTTCCCGTTTGACTAGGCCCAAAAATAAAATAAAATAAAAAATCTGTTTTATCTATTTGGTTGGTATGACCGTACGTATGAATGAATTTCATATTCTAGCCAACCAAAAAATAAATAAATAAACACTTGACCAATTCAATAAAAAGTTTTCTTCCACTAACGATTAGAACTAGACTTGAACGAGGATGACACCAATCTATGCTGACAATATTACCCACCAAATGAATAGTGTGAGAATATAAGACAAATTACACTTGGCACCTCCGGTATTTTTATTTAAATTTTATTTTAAACTCTGCACCTTTAATTATAATTATAGCAGTTAATTTCTTATGCTGTAAGTTAAATTATAATTTCACCATTTAAAAAATTAAAAATGAAGGGATTATGGTGAAAGTGAAGGGAATAAAATAAAATTTTAATAAAAGTGTAAAGGCACTAATAAGACGAGAAAAATGTCACATAGTTTCAAATGACAAGTTTCGTGATAAAAGAGTGACATTACAACTTGAATTAAAATTTAAGAAATTGACTGCTCTAATTGAAAGTGAAGAAACTAAAGTAAAATTTTAATGAAATACATGGGTGCTATGCAAGGTTTTAAAAAGCGGCCGCAACCGTTACGTAATGGTTGTGGTAGTTACCGCCACCCGTTACAGCCGCTTTTACAGTGTGATTGAGATTCACAGATGTTGTCAGCCATAGCAGCTGCCATAGCGATCGTAACAGTGCGGTAACTGCCGTAACGGCCTGCTACACACCGTTATGTAACAATTCTGAACTGCTTCTTTCGAAAAAACACACACAAAAAAGGCTAAAAATTGGGGAAGAAGGATAGAAAGAAGAGGGAAGATAAAAAAAGAAAATGAAGAAGCAAGAGATAGAGAGAGAGAAGAAAGAAGATGAAGAACATGTTATTGATTTGTTGAAACTGTAAGACCTATGTTATTCTATTCAGCTGCTATCACTTAACCATTTTGTTTGTGTGTGCCTATCTATATTTGAAAATAATAATAATAATAATAATAATAATAATAATAATAAGTATAGTCATTATCTATTTGATTTGGTTAAAATATATATATATATATATATGTATATTTAGGCTCTTATTTATTCTCTTACTTTTGTCATTGTTTATCTTATATATAATAGTTAGTGATTGATTTTTTGTACAATATAAAGTCATTAATTATTAAAATAAAATGTAAAAAACTCAATTTATAGTGATTTAAAAATATGAAATATATTGGATCATGCTTAAAAATTTACAAAAATTGATCGATATTTATTTTAAACCCAATAAATATGATCATGAAAAAAAAAATATGCGTATCGGTAAATTTTTTTTCAAATTGTG